ATTAATAATTTTTAATTATTTTAATTACTACAAATTAATATTTATTTATAATTAATAATTAATATTAATTAAGGTTAAAATTGAAAAAAAGTGTCAAAAATAAGCTCATAATAAACTATTCAAATAGCTTATAAACGATTACTCAAAAAATAGTTAACTTATGTTTGTCAAACAATGCCTAAGTTCTTATTATGGGAATCTACTTTTAATATCCCTATATCGAGGCCTAATACAGATTTTACAAGGTTGTCATGTTATTGGTGATGTATTTTTATGCATGAGTGTATATCAAGATATAGACTATTTTTGCTCACGACATCGATGAAAGCGGACAAAACACATAGGTCGTTAGTCAATATCAAACACTTTGGAAAAGTTGTAAAGCTTGTCGCATTAACCAACAAGGGGTTATGTCATTCGCATTTCATGTGCTTGTAATTAGTATGGTCTTCCTTTTCATGTTGTTATTTGTCTGTTTCATCGATAACATGTAGCAGAACTTGCTTTGTATTTCAATTTCCTACTCTTACTATTTGTTAAGAATATGAAATTAAATGGAAGAAAATGTTTGGATTCGTTGAACTCACTAATCATACTGGTTAGAAACCCAACACATTCCTAATCTCAAATTTTCATTGAGAGATGAGATTAATGGTTATCTGATAGCACTTAGGGGCCGTTTATTAAACGCTTACTTGGTAAGTACTTACCGAATAAATTTTCTCATCGGATGAACATGAGAAGGGTCAAGAATCTTATCGGGTAAGAGCGATAAGAATGATGGAGAGTCTTACCCGGTAAATGAGGATGATGACTCTTACCCAGGTAAGCGTTTACTCAGTATATTTGTTGCATTCGATATGTTTTGAAGTACTAAAATCTTGCTCATCAAAATAAATCATAGTGTTGACTCCTATCAATAAACACTTATCTGATAAACAATTAGGTAAACGGTCCCTTGGTGGTAATCACGGGTCCCTCAATTGTACTAGAAGGTTAAGAACCAAGTGGCAACAACATGCCAATAAACTAAACAGAACAAGCAACTGCCAAAAAGCTTAGTATTAAAGCAACCCATTGTCCTCTGCGAAACAAATAAAGAAGGGGTTTTATAAATAATATTTGAACAAATCAACATTTTTATAATAAAAGTCAATATTTAATTTGCTTTCCGTCATATCATAATCTACCTGTGTTTACAAGTAACAATCCCTTTCTTATTTACAAAATATGTGATAAACCATTAAATTTTTACTAAGAGGCCGTTTATAATCATCACAAACGCTAACCGATAAAAACACCTTATCTTATCGGATAACATCTCGATCATCAAAATAAGTTGTACCTAATAAGCGCGTACAGTCATCTCTTTCATTTACTAAGTAAGATTTTCGATCATTGATATGTTTCTTCCCATGTATGATATGATTATAGGTTCTTAATAAGTGACACCTCATAAAACTCTTACCCCAAAGTTAAATAGTGTAATTTGCATTAAATTTTATTAATTGCACGAATAGAACAAAAAGATGAATCATTTATCATCCCTCCAAACATTTCGGTTATTAATTACATTCATGTTAAAAAGACTACTTTAACCCCACACCCGTTTGGGCCAAATAAACCCCCCCTGCCATAATTTGGTCGCAATTAAATTGATCCATAATTTAAAAAGAAAAAGGAAAAAAAAAGGTACTTCAAAATCAAGCAATAAAAAGTCTAGAACGTTGTTCGACGCCGTTTCAGCATTTATTAGGGGAGAATCCAATGAGGGAGTTTTCAAGATCATAACTGACACGTGTCCCTTGTTGCTGTACGTTCCCGATAATCGACATCCCAGACGACGTCGGAGCAAACCCAAAACAAAACGTCCCGGATGAGTCAACCGCTATCATGTAGTTCTTAGCCGGTAAGTCCAGTTTTTTCCCGTTGGAGAAATGAAACGACACCGTTGGCACCTGCACGCTCTTCTTCTTCGAAAAATCATAGCAAGTATCGAACAACGCAACTCCGGTGGCCGCCGGCAACCCTTTCGTTTCATTAACAAATGAGTCCCGAAGTGCATTGTACGCCGCCCTCCCCAACCGCGTGACCGCCGTACCGGAATCAACAATGACACCGCCGCCACCGTCGCTGGTCAACTTAAATGCCGTTTCCGGAATATGTAGTAGGTTTCCGGCGACACTGAGACCTGTTAACTCCACATAGTAAAACGTGTCGACTTTGTCGTTACGTAGTAGCGGAGCTGTGATGGCGTCGGGCGGCATCGGTGAGTTGAACTCAAGAGTCGAGGTTGTGTCAGAGTCACGGTCGACGAGGCAGTAAGAGTAAGAGGTGGCGTTGATCTGTGACGGGAAAGACAACCGGCCGCCGCCGAGCCCTATCAATCCGGCGGCTCCGACGAACAGACCTTCGTTATTATGTCCACAGCCAATAGCTATATCTTTAACCGCCGTGGACCCCTCGAGAGTAACCGTCTCCGTCGCGAAATCTCCGACGGTGTATGAGCCGTCGCCGTATGATACCTCGTACAAGCACGTGCCGTTTCTGCACTCGGAAACATCTAGAGACTTGCACTGATGAGCATCGCACGTGAGAGGGGAGTAAGAGGAGGACGACGCCGGCTCAAAAATAGGATCGGCTTGCTGGTAACAATCGGCGCAGGGTGCGCACTGTACCCAGTTGACGTCACTACCAGTATCGAGTACCATATACACCTGACTCGCCGGATGACCAATTCCGACTCGGCAGAAATACTCTCCGCTTCCCTGACTTGTACCGGAAATAACCGGAACCTCCAAATCCTCAGCTGCCAGCTCAGTATCTACCGGCTTAAGATCTGCCTTCTTGACACCATTAACGGCTAGATCTAACCTGGTTTGAAGAGATTCCACCCGAGCTGAGTCACGAGCGAGTCTAGCTAATGTAAGTGACTCGTAATCTTGGTGTGAGGATTTGTGAACAGAGATGCGAGAATGTAGTTGCAGAGAGAGAAGCGAAGAAGACGATGAGGTGGGATGGAGGTCAAAAGACGACGCCATTTGAGTAGTGAAGGAGAGAACATGGAGGGTTTTGTTGATGGAAGCAGAGACATCGAGGTCGGAGGTGGCTCCGGTGATGGTGGGTGGTAAGAGAGTACGAGAAAGAGCAGATGGGAGTGATAAAGCTAAAAGAATAGATATGAGAAGAAACCCATTTTCCGCCATTAGAGAAGGTTGGAGAGGATGCAGGGAGCGAGTAGTGAAGGTTGGAGACGGTGGAGATGTATATATACACGGTGATTAGATTAAATTAGTCACTAATTTGAGATTAAAAGATTTATCAAGTTAAGGTGGTGTCAATGTGTCATTCCCTTCGCATATAAAGGGATATTTGGATGTAAACGTAATAGAATAAAAAACAAATAATAGCATAGATTATATGGTAATGTTACACGTGTTCTCATTGTTTGAAATCGTATTATTTAGTTTATAGCTTAGCTGATTTTTTATGGTGGATGGATTGATTATTGAGTATCCCTTCCAATCGAGGAGAACTGATTGTATCTTATGGTAAAAGTTAAATTAAGATCATTCCGGTGGTTTGTATTGATATTGATGTAAGTTTTTGGTCCAGATCGAACTTTATTGATTGGTTTGGAGATCGAGACGTGAGAAAATCGATTTGAGTTGTGCAGGGAAAATAGTGGTTCCCGCGGGTGGTACTGTGATCTTGGTCGCGTGCCAGGTCATGTAGGCTACTATTTCACCATTCTCAATTTTTGCGTGAAGGGTAGTTTGGTGCTGTGTTTTGGACTGTTATCGGGAGGGTCTAGTAATAGCTCATTTGAAGGTCCTTTTGGGGTATTAGCTTATCAATATCAAAATCTAAATTCAGGTTTTCTGTTCTGTTGGTGCAACTCTAGTCTAAGAGGGTGAGCTCAGACTTAGATTTCAAGTGAGTTTCTCTTATTCTTTTGGGCAAATGATTACTTATTTACATGTTACAATTGAAGAATTTATTTATTCAATTTTAAATTTTTTTTAAATTTTATTTATTTAAAAAATTAATCACTCAAACTTTCAAAATATAAACTTTTATGGAAGAAAGTGAAAGGGTTTAGAGAAGAGTGGGAACAAGGAGTTGCATAAATGAAGGAATTGGAGTATGGTTGAAGTTGTCGATGATTTTTCCTTAAAATAATCGTGTATTTTCCATAATTACATTTTAGTCCTTCTAAATTCATGATTAGGTTATAACTTCGTATTCTTTTTAAAGTTTTTACAATTTTAATATCCAAAAGACTAATGATAAAAGAAATATCCCAAATGATTTTTTTATTAAATAAATAATCGAGATTATATGGGGATGGTTAAAAGTACAAGTAAAGGTGTAGTTCGCATTACACTTCAAGTAAAGATCATAATGAACCGAGTTCTTTATGTTCTTGTCATCATCATAATTTGACATTTTCAAAATTAAACAAAAGATGAATTTTATCGGTCAAAACACTATATGTAATATTAATTGATAACCGAATGTTGACTGGAATAGATATAGAAATAGAATAGATGAATATTTAAAACACGACTAAATACAGTAAAACAATAAACACTCATGAATTAATGTGGTTCCATCAGCTGTTTGATGATGTATGTCTACACAGAAAAGGAGAAATCTTATTCACAGAAAAAGAATTCAAGACAAAAATCAAATAAATAAATTATAAATTATGATGTAAATTCTTAAGGTTATTAAAACTAACCTTGACTTTAAATATGATTTGTCATTATAAAAAATAAAAATGATATAATATATGAAAACTTCAACAAAGCTTTTTGTTATAAAACAATAAATCCCCAAATTATTTAACGATTTTGGTGTGGTAGGGTTTTTGGATTGAGTGTCTTCGTTCAAAACATTGCTTTTCCCTTTTTGGAAATTTTTCACCTTTTTCTTTTTAAAAACCCAAATTTCTTAGTGTTGAAAAAGAGGTATGTTAACTAAATAAATAATATTAACTTTGTTAATTGATTTGATCATTTTTATTTATTGATCAATGGTTGTGATTAAATGAAGGATTATAATATGATGAAAAATGAAACACATTAAATAGAAAACATTTTTGAAATAAACTGTTTTTATTATAGGGAGATATTGTATTTTATTTTTGAAGAGATTGAAAAGATATTATATTTTGTTTTTGGAACAAATTGTTCATAATGTTGTTCCTTTTATGAAATTTGATTTTTCCAATTTCTTTTATCAAGTTTCGTAGGTGAAAGTAAAAAATCCACAAGTGAAATAATATTTTTTTGCTTAAGGTTAATAAGTGAAATAATGTTTTTTGCTTAAGGTTAATAAGTGAAATAATGTCTTTTTGTTTGAAGTTCATAGGTGAAGCTAAAAAATGATTGTGGTAATTAAACAAGTTTATAGATGAAACCAGAAAGTTCATAGATGAAATAATTAAGTGAACAAAATACTTAAGGAATGTGATAATTAAGGAATGCGGTATTATTATTTGAAAAAGACGAAAATGCTCCGGTTAACAAAGTTAATACTATTTATTTGGTTAACAAAAGAAGACGACTCACAGTCACACACACACACACACACACACTACGTGAACATCAAAAATCGTACATCCACGACTCCACCCATCTTGTAGACCCAATCATACCACCATCTCCAGCAACGAGTAAACTCGAACCAACTCTATACATCGAGACATTGACCTTCATACCAATCCGTCCAAGAAATCTAATGAAATATAAGGAATTGGAGCTCAAATAGACGATCGACATGAGTGTTTCCTCAATTAGAAAAACCGATTATTTTGTACCAAGACAATGTTCTTTTTATTTATAATTAAAAATATAATGGTTGCATATTGAAACATCAATATCATATTGTTAGAAATATTATTCACCAAATAATTAGAAGATGCATATACCATCTTAAGAATATACCTGAAAATACCTTAATATGTAAGATTATCATTAAAATCGACTGAAGTTCTTGATGATGATATTTTCTTGCTTTTGCTTCGTTCTCTATGATGAGAAACCATCACTATCTATATTTTCTTTTCAAAAAGGACTCCATTTGTTAATTTGATGTTACTGGATTTAGATATTGGCAATGCACCTTCTTTCTCCTTTTCTCGACATGTTTGTAGGTATCAGCTCCAATCTACATCCTATCAAGGTAAGTGTTAATTTAGTTAACGGTTCCTTAGACATGATAAGACTGAATGGGACCAAAATGCAGCTTTTTTTGTCCCACCAAAATGAGTGGACAAAATAAGAAGATAGGGCAAGATATGTAAATTACTAAACTAGCCATGTCAAATTAAAATCTTCGACAGTTCTTTCATCCGCCTACCTCACTTTTGTCAGTTCCGCTTTGTTTTATCTGCATACCAGCTACCAAGTGTACCCACACACATCATTACGGTTTTTCTTGCATGTTGATTTTGATTTCCATCCATCCATTGTTCTTGTAGGCTGATAACTATGAAGAAAAAGAACAGACCATTGTTGACTCAATTCTTCTCGCCCATCTTTTTAAAGGTATTATTGTTCCCAAAACTATCATCTTCATCAAATGATAAGATATCTAATCTATCGCCTACTTTCACAGACATTCTATATAACTGTCCTTGGGGAGTGGGATGACAAAAGCCAGGTGAACATCAATTCTGAAGTGTTTATCATTTGCAATGAATATGATTTTGAGTGTCTTGATGCTCATCAAATGTTAATTTTCGGTTGGCTACAATAGGTTTGGCTGCAGCTGAGAATCCATTGGGTGTTGTTCTTGGAGGGATCTCGTAAGTTCAATTGATCTATCATATTCATCGGCTGAATTTTCTAAATTACACTGTTAACGGACTTTTATCCGTTTGTTAGAGGGCAAGCATTGTGTCAGACTGCTGTCTCTTTGGAGGGAAGAGCTTGGCGACTCATAAATCTGAGAGGTTTGTATTTCGACTCGTTAATTATTTTATGTTTTTTGTCGTCTTGTGTGCATATTTGTACATTTGAAATAAATGTTACCACATTTGATGTAGGTAGCGCTATCAGGTGGAGTTCTTTTCATCGTCTTTGGAATCCAATCATTCTTTTCGACCATTGAATCATGATTCCAAAGCCCCAAATCTTCATTAATAAAAAAAAATGTAATTTGTGGTACATATTCCTCCCCCCAAAGCCCCAAATCTTTTGTCAACCATATAATCATGATCTGATACAACTTTGTAATGTATTATAAATGTTATTTGAACAGTTTTTGAGCAAAGGCGTTCCACACATTTACTAACTGAGCTACATGCCTGAAGGCATTTACAGAGTTTTTGTTTCCAAACATGTATAATATTAATACATTCATCCGAACCACACTTGATGTCAATTAAAACCTTATGTTTCTATTGCAAACATTCATTATGAAGACTAGGAGTTTTAATTTACCGATATAACTCATTGGAAGCAATAATCCTGAATATAAAAACCTATGAGTTTTACCAGTCTTTTAAAATTAAATTAATTTACTGATAAAACTCGTAACTTGAAGAGTCGGCAATAATATTTCTAAATCCACCGATGGTTGACGCCAACATTATAAACACTCCGATGAATATTCCCACCTGAAGAAAAAACAAAATAAACACGTACCATTTTATCAAATATTCCAAGATTTATGTGAATATTTAAATTAAAAAAGGGCTCATATTTACCCAATTAACTAGCCATTGGGTACTCAATCTCTTGGGTTTCTTGAGTATCAGCCATATTATGCTTGGAAGCTGCAAAATTCAATCAGAATATAACAAAATATTATAATTATAAATTGGAAAAATAGTATTTTTAATCAGAATATTATCATTAAATATATTAATCCTTACAAAATAAGAAGTTGGAGCAAAACCAAATCCACCGAAGAAACCAAGAAGATCCCCGAAGAAGGGAAACGTTACTGCCACGAACAACGTCAAAGCTGCAATTTTCCACACAAAAAAATTAATTTCAATAACACATACATGCATGCATGCATGCATACATACATACAAGAAAAATGGTTACCAACGTAAGACGAACGAACAAGTAGTCTGAGTGGTATTCCAGAAGAGACTTTCAACTTTTTCATCACTCCTTTTTCCATCAAATCAAATAATGGCATTGCAAACACCTGTACTCATTTTAACACTCTTCAAACTCCGAACATCTTATTCAATAAGACATGAATAGTAAATAAAAAGTATCTAATAAGCACTTAATTTTTCAATTCACCTGGTAGCTGCCGAGAACATGGACTACGACCATCAGATTAGCAGCGGCAATGAGCCAAGACGGTTTTTGTAGCGCAACCAGGACGTTATCGGTAACGTCTTGCCCAAATGCCCAGTACCCGATAAATGCTACCGGAAAATAACATATGGCGTTGATGAAATACGCTCCGATTGCCCCTTTCCACATTGCTACCTTTGACGGTTTTTCCAGTGTGGAGGGGATGGTGGCTTGGATTTCGAGTGCGACCGCATGGCCTGCGTATGCAAACGAAATCTGACCCAATGCGTTGAAAACTCGAAATATTGAATCCGCTCCACTTGTTTTCTTGTACGCATAGCTTACGTCCGGTTGCCTGCCTTTGCTCAGGGAACCGGCCCAAGCTATGGTTGAATAACTGTCACCTCAAACCATAAAATCAAAATCATTTTCAATTTCAAGAGTAAAAAATTACTTTTTTTTAATGATTATCACTATAGTCTTTAAACTACAATAGACCTTCCACCGTTAAGTTCATCCGTTAAGTTAACGGACATTTTTGGTTATTTTACCTTTTTAAAAAAAGTTAACATATATTTAAAGCATTAAAAAACCCAAAATAGGGGGGAGTGGGTTGGGTTTTGCTTTGTTTTTTAAAAATGCTTTTAACATTTGTACATAAGCTTTAAAAACTTGTATCATAAAACAATATAAAAAGAAAATAGTGAAAAGACCGAAATGCTCCTCAATTTAATGGATGAACTTAATGTCCGTTAGGAGCAGGGATGAATGGTGTACACAAACTGAAACTATGAGGGGTCTGTTCGAAACTGTAATGACGATTGATGGAGTTTGAGAATACCATAGTGACATAACGGCAGCAGCTAGTGAAACACCCGAAACAGAATTGAAGTCGGGAAGCTGAGCGAGTAGGAAATGTGTGGAACCAAAGATGATGATCCAATACGAGTGTCTTAGCCGGGTGCAGTCGGTGCACACCATTTCGATGAACTTTTGGAGGCAGGTTCCACCGGTCACCATGTACACGATGTTGCACCCGACTATCACTATCATCTGCTGTGGGAGTACAATCCATGGTCCGAGTCTGGGACCGAAAGTGTGTCTGGCTAGGTCAATGTAACGGTCGAACCGAATCCCTGGGGTGGACTCGTGGAGTTGGATCAGGAGCCACATTGTGTGTAAGGTCATGCACCATGATATCACCATCACAGCCATGCCTGGACCCCTGTCAAGTGCCATTTTAATTCTTTAGTTGGTTTCAACTCATGAAATAAAGTTGGTCCATAAGTTTTGAGGATTAAAGGGCTCTTCGGCTACCGCTTAATGGGTTGAATAGGCTGCATGTATTATTTGGTAAGCCATACAAGATTGTTGGGCAACTTATTAGGCCAGCCAAGTGATCTGATTTGACATAAAAGAAGATTCAAAAAGCGACATTCTTGAAAGTACGAGAAAGAGAAAACAGTACCATCCGAGGTAGGCGATAGCATAAGGCAGGCTGAGAACACCGGCACCCACCATGGCCGTGACGGTGTGAAAAGTAGAATACCACCATTTTGCTTCCCTACGTGGTCCCTCTTCATATTCTCCCTCCAACGGAGCTTCCTATTATTGCAATCATTTTTATAGGTCAAAATCAATTTATTTGGTGTCAGCATCTACACGGATTTAACATTAATTGTCCAAATTATATTCAAACTTTTTTTTTATTGATTCTAATATTCCGACTTCAAATATCAAGCATATAATATCTAAATTTACGATATGATGTATGTATCACTTTAAGTTTCAAACAATGACTTTTTTTCTCAGACAGTTAAAATATAGACAGTTTTAAGATCGAAAGTAGTTGCTTGTTTTATGTTTGCCGTTGGATGACAACTAACACCAAAGGGAAGAAGCAAATTCCATGAATTTCTTTAACCATGGGTATTCGGGCGAGTTTGTGTACGCCTTGATTATTCTCATGGACCCTGGAGAATAGCTAGAAAAATCTTCAGTGGCCTTACAGTACTCAAACCAGTGGCTTCTGAGTAGATACCCCAAATACCTAAGGTTTACTACCAGTTAAGCTAACCCCACCACAAGGTTAACGTATGAAACTCCTCGTTTTTAAATAATTGGTACCAACGTCAAACTCAAATGTATTCATAACAGTTTTGAATAATTTGTTTGACAATTAATTAAAACACACTGATTCATATAAAACAAAAAGTAACACAACGAGGGAGCGTTGCTAGCTGACCTTCGGAAGTGGAGGAGAAGAAGCAGAAACCATCAGAGAAACGGAAGAAGCAGAAACCATCAGAGAAACGAAAAAAGAGGAGGTAATCTTCGATCCACAAGTGAACCCAAACCAGATCGGAGGTTCGAGTCTTACAAAGAAGAGAGTGTGGGATTGATAGTTGATGTCTCAATATTCACCAAGACCATCATTGTTTATGTAGTTGTGGTGGAGCTCTCACTCTCCAAAGAGATTTCTTGTTTATTAAGTGGAATAAAGGAAGTCATTCTCTTCCAAAAAGCAATAATTGTAAATTGATTTTACAATTACTTGTATTTTATGTAGTATCAGTCGTATATTAATTTATCGATTTGACGTAATACATCCAGATACAATGAATGGTATCATAAGTATTTTGTTTAACTAGAAAGAACATATATACAATTATTACATCAATACAAACATTTAGAATATAACGTGCCAAAGAATGATTCCCAAGACTGGGAGACTAGTATTGATGAGAATACAAAACGTTCATACATCAGCATGATCCAACCATTAGAATCATCAAATTGACTTAATGAAGAAAATAACACATCTGTTTAGATATAACGTGCCATATATTACCAAGATAATTATAATTCATTCATCTTGAATAATTTTGAAAAAAAAAAATATTCAAAGTAGCTTAAGATATGAGCAAAATCCCATCCAATGGGAGATGCCTTAGCTTTACAAAAAGGAAATAGTGTTGTAGGGTTATGATGATGAATGGACGAGTGATTTATGAACGATTAACTGATTAAATTATTAATAAGATTATATCAGTTTATTTATAAGCAGCTCTTGTTTCAATATAATGGGACACGTCACTGGTGTTTTAGTAGTAACCTCTTTTCTATCTATTGCTTAGAAAGTCTTGTAGTTTACCCGCATGCTATTTACCACTAAAACCCACGACACTAAGTCATTAATTGGGAATATTGATGGTTGTCATGAGAGATAAGTAGTTTATAGATATCTGTATACGTCATTAAGATGTATATGGTGTCGTAAAGTAACCATTAAACAAAATATTAGTGGTAGTTGCTAAAGTTTGTAACAACATCCTAACAAGGTGGTTCCTTTTGAATACTCTATGCACATCTTATCTTTTATTTTGCCGACATATGGTTACAGAAGTTTGTGGAATCTGTATCTTGAATTAAGTTTATCTGGAAAAAAAAAATTAAAGCTTCAAATTATGACATCATTACACAATTCTTTTAACCTTGAACTTCAATGCATTTTAGATTTTGATTGGAACTTGCACAAGCAAAACCGTGATGAAATATTGAGGAAGAAATGATGTTAGGGAAACACAACAAAGTGTCATGGTCATCACTATGATATTGAAAGTAGAGGGACTCAAGTGTAAGAAAGGTGTAGTTGGAGGACTTGAATAGAAATATGGAAAAAGGAGGAGTTGGTGGTGATGTTCATGGTGTGTCTTGAAATGATTACATTTTCTCTTTTTACTTTGCCAAGTTGCAATATAATACCCATACCCTTAAAATAAGTGTCTATATTACTATTTTAGATTATTTTAAAATAAGTCTACTTTCTTATTTTACCCTTATAATAAAAGTGAAAAAAATAAAGGATAAAATTGTTATTTTGTTAATTAAAAAAATACAATAATTACACATTTCTAAAATTATATGTTTTTTTTATTGTAGACATTTATTTTGGAACAAAGGGAGTAATAACTATAAAATCATATGGAAACAATTTGTTATGATGAACAAGTAGAAAAAACCCATATCCTCCTGAAAACAACTTTTCAGGTATGCAACCAATCTAATCATGACACTCCAAATAGGATATCAGTTCTTTTAGGTTTTAATTAATTTAATTCATAAAGTTTAATCTCATCAATTCATAGATATATCTACTTAATAATCTGTATTTTTTGATAATACACATACATCTTGGATTTCTTTGTGCAGAGTTTAGATATATCAGTTAATAAAGCTCCCACTGGACATGCTTTGTGCCCCTTGTGAAGAAACTTGACCCAATTGTGTTCGCCCTCCTGGACCTTGAACATAACCTTGATTCATTCCGTTTCCAACCATTTGCTGCTGTTGCTGCTGCTGCAACGCTGGTGGTGGTGCTGACCCTCCTTGTGGCGGTTGTTGCATTTGCTGCTGCTGCTGTTGTTGCAAGTGCTGCAGTTGCTGCTGCTGCTGCTGTTGTTGTTGCAGTTGTGGGTGCTGTTGGGGTTGAAGTTGTTGTGGCTGTTGCTGACCGGATATTTGGGGCTTAAACACCACCATGTCCTAAAACAAAAAAACAGCAGCGAGTTTATTTTCTAATACAGAGAATTAGGTTATTACATGAAAAGCAGCAAGTTGATTTTCTATACGATGATAGTTAAGACTTAAGAGGATGGGTGAAACCTACCATACCCACAAAAAAAAGTTCTGTTATGTAAGTTCCCATGTTCTAAAAGTAAGGGTTTCTCCATCCACACTGCAAAACCACCATTTTGCCAGTTTGGAAGCTCCAACCAGCAACCGCCAGACGAAAAGAATGGCAAAATGGCGGAGATGGGAAAGAAACGGCATATATGTTGTGGTTGGAGATGGTCTAACGAGTTATCACCATCATGTTTTCCACTTGGCATAGAACTATATAAAATTTAGGCAGATAATAATTGCAACTTACCCCAGGGAAAAGCATTCCAATCAATCGGCATGCTTTATCAGATACAGACAGTAGAAGTGTCTGTGATGGCAACTGTATCACTGCACACTACATATCAGAAAATGTCAACCATTAAACCTGATTTTGCTATCCCTTTTCAACAAGTAACAATATTTGAGATAGAGAAATTAACATCTTTTAGATGTTTTAAGGCTCCATCTCTTTTGATTCTTTTTCCCTATTCTCTGTCGTGGATCCCATTTTCATTTCTCTTCCACATCAAGTACATGGGGACCCACCAAAGGGTCGCTGGCCCAACAGTATCCAGGTTACAGGTAGACCCCAACCTCCCAGGAGGTCAAAGGTTTCAAATCTCACCACGGGTGAGGAGCGTGCGTGAGTATTTGCAGTATATAAATATTATACACTTCCAAAGATAAGTAAATGGGATCCGTTTATCACATGTCTTTCAAGTGCAATACTTCCCTTATAACAATAATCAGTCTCGTATACCGTTGACTTTGTTCCAGATATAAACATGATAGATGGTAAATAATTCCTTACTGACATGGGTGCAGTTGAACGCACTTGTGCAGGTGTTAAAATGGCATCCAAGAAAAGGCCATTCTCAGTCCCATCTATTGTTTGGATTCATCATTCAAAGATATCCAAGATGTTAATGAATGCGAAGGAGAAGCTTTAGTTTTCAAATAACTTACAAGCTTCTTTTCTTGCAGCTGTCCAAGAAATCCATGCTGATTCATTGCTCGGAAAACTAAGAAATCTGCCTTTCCGACATATTGCCTGGTATGGAAGTGGAAAGTATTAAAAGACATAGCTTGTGGAAGTTTAGCAACTAGCAGGGAAACAATATCACGAAACTAGTTGGTGGAGCATACTTGTTATTCATGTGATCTTGAGATATAAGCCGAACTATTTGCATTGTTGGTGGCCAATTAGCTGCAAGCCTGACAGATGGTGCAAGAAGAGAGAATCCAAATAAGCATCTTAACATGAGTCAAGCTTTGTCGAAGGGTATTTAGATATTTGGTAAATAGTAAAACACAGCACATAAACTATGAGTCAACTCACACTTTGCAATTTTCATGAGCCAGAAGGTATACATGTTTAAATTGGATATCAAATCTCTAATCAATGTTCAAAAACTCAGATACTTTTTTAAAGCAAAGAAAACAAGTATTAGAGATTAACATGCAAGTAAAACTGAACTAAACACAATAACTTATTCAAGTATAAAAGGGTGGGCATATGTTAGTGATGGATGACTTACGATTCAGAAGCTGATGCACTCCTGTACCCCTGCCATAAACACATACAGAAACATAAGGCCCAAGTTGTAAATTTTAACATCGAAAATGGATAAACTCTACACTAAAAGAAAAGTTTGGAGTTACGGCAATGACAAAGGTCAAAGCCTAGCTCTAATGATAAGCATTAATCTTAAATGGATCACTCGTATGATTTATGAACACTCATCAATTAAGAAATAAGAGATAGATATCACCATGGATCTGTTTGCTCATAGTGAACATAGATTCATAATATTTTTAAATTCTATGAAAAACATCATTAGAGAAAAGAAGGATCATTATTACTGATTGAAAACACCTCGCTGGAAACAAAGAATTAGCATAGTCGTAAGATCACAACAATACCACCACCCAATAGACAGATCAAAATTTTTGAACTTACTTCTAATCTGGTAATAAACACAGGCTGGCCTTGTCGCTGCCCGGATAAGTTCCCCTGCATCATTTAGATCATTCCAACCAAGTGAACAATCATAATAATATACAAAAAAGAAAAGAAAAATAATAACTAGCAAACAAGTGCCCAGTTTAGTAACTTCCCTGAAAAGTGGGGTTTTCAAGATCAATGACACTATATTAAGTGTGTCAATATTAAACCCCATAATGGATCTCATGAATTCGAACTATCAATAACTGCAACAGGAGAACTGCTGTTCATGGAGATCACATGCTCGGTCCACAAATATAATAACACATCTCTAAATCAGAGACCTTAACTTGCAGATGCAGGGGAATCATAACAAAATTTCATCGTCTCTATGCCAAAACATAAGCTTTCATTTTAGTGGACTTCCTATGCCATAAACAATAAATGTACTTTGATTTGGGTGTCACATGTATCTATTTCTTTGACATAAAGAATCCTTGATTTCTTATTTATTCACCATGTCCTTCAACTAATTATACCAAATAGAATGTGACAGAAATACAATAACGATAGGATTCTCTCCCTTGAAATTAGAAAACTAGACCTAAATAGGAGATTACGAGGGATCTCCGAACTAATCTAGCAAAAATATTACAATAATACCCCTAACTTTGTAGTCTATATTTCAACAGTTTGTTTCATCATCTTTAGTTACATAATGTAATTATGGGGGTACGATTACGTACAAACATGTGAAATTATTTGAGAACTTGATTGTCGTCCTAAATACGAGAAAAGATCTAAAAATATTTAGGTGATTGTAACTTGTTTTCATACCGTTTCGCTGCTTATTCATTATACTTTATGTCCACATAGAAATATGTGTAAACAGTGGTAAAATTACATGTTCAATTGAAAGAGAAAATACAACTGGCTAGGTATTGTTATGCAATCATGTAGTCATAGATATCTGGACATTACAATTCAGTTAGCCAGGTATTAATAGCTTATTTTAACTTGTAAAAGCTATGGTACTTGGATATACTACAAAACATGCTTTTACCAAACAAGTGCCGAGTTCCAGTGAGAATTGGAGGTTATGGTGAGAAGGGTAAGAAGGGATCTCCACCCTTGGATCAATCCTAATTGAAGATCAACACTAATGTGGTGCACCGAAATACACTGGATCAATTCTCATGATGAGCGCAATTCATGGGGTGGGGGTGAGATTAAAAGTGATGAGGGTCCAGATCCCATCTTACCCTTCTCACCTTAACTCCTATTCTCACACGATGCTTCGTCTATCAAACAATTAAGGAACCATAGGCCAACCATTTTCATCTCAGAAAATAGAAACATGAGTTATAGTGCAATAAGAAACTAATGGTTTAGACATTAGTAGACTACCATAGCAGTCTCAAATATAAAAAATGTGACCTCAGTATTAGTAATATTGGTCTTACCTCCCAGACTTTCACATATTTTGACTGTGCTGATTGCAGTGCACCTGTTGTCTGTTGTGGGAGACCAACATTAGCTGCCGTATTGTTATTTACACCAAGAGATTGCATTCCTTGTACTTGCTGAGACATACCAGGAGTAGGCATCATTGTCCCATTTCCACTTCCAGTTCCAGTTCCAGCTCCACTCCCAGTTCCAGCTCCAGGCATACCTGATTGACCCACACCACTCATCATATTCTGATTCATACCCATTCCACTCTGTACCATTTGCGGTCCTGGAAGGTTCCCTTGGCTCATTCCAGGAACGGACTGACCCATACCAACACTTCCTTGAAGATTACCCAACGGTTGTGATACGCCAAGGCTTGAACTCCCAGCCATGTTAGAAGTGGCTGAACTAAAAGAACCTGGTACAGTACTCTGTGCAACCTGTGCAGTCCCCGAAAGTGTTCCAGACCCAGCAATTGATGTAATACCTGATTGCCCAGATGATATTACACTTTGAGCAACAGGTACAGTTGATGGCATTCCACTAGATATCATATTGGACATATGCATGGCCATAGGATTTCCAGCAATTGATGGTAGCCCCATAGATGTTCCTCCAGCAAGGGCGGCCGTTAATCGTGCTTGTGACAGAGTGTTAAGAATGTTAATGTGGCCAGCAGGACGCACTGGCTGTTGTATACCACCGACATTAGGTTTCAAATCTTGCACACCATCATTAGTTGACATCATCTCTTGAGAGACAGATAATGGTGACGATGTTTGCAAGCTTGGGACTCCTTGAGAGGTAGCACGAGGAACAGGTGGAACATGTTGAAATGCTGGTGTAGGTGCAGGTGCTGGTGCCATTGAAGAAACCGTGGTGGGCTCCTGAAAATTCAGGTTAATATTCACCACAGGCACCACAAATCAAAAATATGTTGGAAGAGATTAATACTAGAAGACCATTAAATTTTTATAAGAGAAATAAAAAATAAAAGATAAGAGGTAATGAGTCTTACAACTTTGACAGTTGCAGGAGGAATGCTTCCTACAGGAACTGGTTGCCGGTTCATTGAAGATCCATTTACTGGAAGACAAAGACAAAATGTTGGAGTAAGCATATTAATTAGCATATAAACGAGTCTTGATGCTACTAGCTTATCAGCTGCCTTTACAACAATCAATGTCTCCAGAAACCCTCTCAACTATGTGGTATCATAGGATTTTACATAAAGGTTGGTTCCAAATCTTTCAAATATGCTTGACAAGAAAAGAGAATTCTAAGCAAACATGTGTAACATGAAATACTACCAAGAAATTGCCCAAGAGTTATATACGTCCAGGAAAAAAGTTTCTATAGAACCCAACAAGTTTTCTTTGTTTTTGAGAGGGTCAGTATACCATGTAGTAAAGATACTTAGATAGCATTTAAAATGCCATAGTGCAAACCTGGGACTATAAAGGTCAATAAAAAGTGAACTTGCAAAAAACCTGCTGGAATTGAAGTCTGAGGAGGTCCTGATACTGGAGGAACTGAAGTTGTATCTACTTTTATAGGACTCTGAGAAGGCAAATTTGTTATTCCTGATCGATTTAAGGCAGCACGAGCCTCCATGAAAGTTTCTGAGATGAGCACAAGATAATGTGGATTTTTCACAATATCAATGGTTGGATCAGCGGCTGAAGGGTTCCTTTTTCCCTGCAGGGTTGAAATGCATAGTCAATAGAATACTGAATAGTTTTAAAAGAACAATAGCAAATTTGTAGAAGCCAACAATCACAAAGTGTAGGCAAAAGCATCAAACAGCGGTAGTCAGTCAAGAAACTTCCACTAAATCAGTTAGCCCGGCACATTAATCCGTACAAGTCAATAATTCAATACACACACATATTTGAAATACAATTACAACAACATTTGTGTTTTCAACTAACATTTGTAATTGGCTGATTCCAAATTCGTTTTATTTGAAATACAATATGAAGCATGAAGACTCAAAGCTTTCCATTGTGGGTAGATCGAAGAGCAACTAGTAAAACCAAGAACCTTGTGGACTAACAATAATTTAATAACAGAATCCTTGGATGTAATATGCATCCTATAGTGATTTCAACAACTCAACATCACCCAAAAAAAATAATGACATGTTCCTAATCTCCAATTCACACATTCAAATAAAGAAGAGGACCAACTTAATGTTATTACCCAGTCCCCGCTTAGACTCAGATACTCAGTTGCCTCAATAGATGATTAACTGTTTGAATGCTCAATACAACAGCTAGGTGAAAGTTGAGCCAGTGGTTAACTAATTACATAACTACAAACAAAGCTTTATGTTTAATTATCTAAATAAAAGTGCCCTTATGTAATAAAATAGCCTATATGAAAAAAAGAATCTCTGCAACAATGGAGTAATTGGTGTAAGGAGAAAGCTTATTACGTAGAGTCTGGTCAACCAACCTTTGACAGACTGAACTAAAGCAAGCATGGAAGTAGAAATAAAATAAAAAAGGTAACAGTTAATTACCGCATTATAGACTGCTTTGAGTTTTGGAAGCTGCTTCGGGCATATAACTGACAGAGAAACGGAACACTGCTACAAAAAGCAACGATCAACAGCCTGGTGTCTAAAACTGATATAAGCATAAAGTCACCATCAATAAACTTTCTAACTCCATCATCAATACCTGAGCAAATGTTTTAGCCACTGTCTCAGCATCTGATAAACGGCTTTCTGACTGTGCCTCGCTATTATCACTTGGCTCCATTTTCTGCATTGGTGGTCGATAAACTGGTGTCGGCAAAGGATATGGGTTACTTGCAGCAACAAGGATGCAATGCCTTTGAATACCCAGATTATGTTGATTTTGGCTCCCATTTGGGGAAGGAAACATCTGGTCATCACAAAAAATATGAGTAACTAAATGCAAGACTGAACATGGATAACATAATCCCCATGCAGAAATGAAAATTCCATCTTAGATGTATCCTAAAACAAAACTCTCGCTTAAGCCACTTGCATGCTATCAAGATCAACTTGCTGGTTTCTTCAGATTATTAAGTTAACAGCAGCATTCATTTATTGATACCTTAGAACTGTCTTAAAAAATCTTGGAATCCATGTTAGTCTGTGAAACCACTAAACATATAATGGCAAAATTAAGTTTAATATTCTAATATGGTTCTTCTTTAAATCTGAGAAAAAACTTCCAAAAGGCAGCTTTACAGTGTGCAACACATGAAGACTATAATAACGACTTCCAATATAGAGGTGAAAATTTATCTACCATGTTCTCTTGCCTCCCTCCAAATAGAAGTAAATGTAGATCTCAAATCATATGTCAACAAGGGAAGAAGTATACTTCTTTTCTCACAGATTCTTCAACTTGAATGGACTAAATTCCAAAAAAGTCCTCTTGTTGACCATGGCTTCTTTTTGAAAAAAGGGAAAATTTCTTAACTGACTTACAAAAAATAAGTTTTAAATCTAGTAGAAAATTGGTGCCAATGATAGAGGGATAAGTGTTGTGCCCTACCTTTCTACGTGTGTTTTGTCTTACCTTTCTATGAGTTTTATGCCTTACCTTAGTTTTTCTATGAGTGCTTTCCTTATTACCTTCTCTATGTTTCAGTATACCTACTTCTTACTTTTTTTTTCTTTTTCTGTGCTTTCTATGTGCTAGTCTCTGTTCCTTCTACCTTTGTGCTTGCACTTATGCACAACCAAGAGTACACCCCCCTGACTTTCAAGTGGGGTAGAGAACAAGTTTGCATTCATCCCCCCAACCCTACTTTCAAGTGAGATATACCGGGTTAGTTTGGTTTGGTTTTATTTATTGACAAGTCCATAGAGTACTACCGAACTAGAGACCATGTATATTGAACCCTATGGAGGATTAAAAGATATGGCTCGAACCATAGTACACACCATTAAAGCTTCACCAAGTCCCTCTGCAATTGCAGCATCACAAAAACCACCACCAGTGAAGTGTATTGCTGATAGCCACTCAAAGAAATAATCAACATTTCTTGTCCAGCCACTCCGTTGTACCAAGCAAGCTGCATTTGGATTGATAGGAAAATCAAAATACGAGCTAGAACTAAAAAACATAGCCATGCATACCAATCTGAATATACAAATACCATATAAATACACATACATATACATACACACCAACTACCCATATGTGTGTGTGCATAGAGAGAGAGATAGGGAGAGAGAGAGAGAGAGAGAGGACGGTGCATCAAAGAACCAAGGTATAATTTAAAATAACAAGAACAAACTTATTTTGCTTAGCCAAAAAATATCACACAGTCCTTTAGCTTCGATAAAAGTTCAGGGTTGTATGAGAAGGCATACTATTGAGGATACAGATGAATACAAGGTTCCACTCCATTCACTTGCCGAAAAAAAGAAATTCAGATTCTTCATGCAGATTTTGGTATAAATTCACAAACAGTAATGCATTTCCACATTATCCAAAATGAATATGATAATAAAATATGTGGCCATGAAACTTCACAATTCTTCTGAATTAGCATCCCAGAGAAGGGGGAGATGTAGAGATAGACATACACACATATAATATCTCTTCTATATATACACATATCTACATAGTGGGTATATATGTACATATACATACATGAATATAGATACATATACATGCAGAGAGAGGATTCCACAGATGAAGACTGTGGAGAGGGATTTCTTAGATGAAGATCATGGAGGGAAAGAGGGCATACAGTGGAGGACATCCCTCCATGTATAAGCAAGCAATATATTAGGATTTTGTTGTGTTTATTTGCTTGAATCGTGGCCCATCTTATGTGCTCCATACATTCAAAATTTTCTCTCAACAATATAAATGCTCTTTTGAACACAAAAACCTGTACACAGTATCAAAGCCTTTAGCTTAGAATTTAGTAAAGCCAAGTATGTTCGCTTCTGCTGGTGCTATTGATGAACCAGGGTGTGTTTTTTTTGTTTTTATCAATTCCATTCATTGGCAGCAGCCACAGTAGAGCTACTACCAAGGCTCACTGTCTGTTTCTAAGCCAGTCCGAACCTAAATCAGACATCAGCAAGCCTTGTTGAAGCTCCATTACCCTGCAGCCATGTTCCTAACTATCCATGCATGTTCCGACCTCATTGAAGGTTTTCACACCTCCTACAAACATCACTCCAGCTGCAGAACATCGATGAGGTCCCCAATCTCTTCTTTGTTTTATAGACAATATCTGCACTCAGCAACTATCAAAGCATCCCAACCTTCTCATAGCCTTACACGAAAACCAACAGAACCTACAACAGTACGAGTGTGCAACCCTTGTAGGACAACAATTTTATATAGTTCACTATTTGTTTTAAGATTGACATAATTTAGAGACTACTTTGCATGTCCAGTAAGAGTTTTTTATGCAAAACCAGGAAGTTCAAGGACAGTTTCATCATCTAGTTCAATTTAGTTTTCAGGGGTACTATCTTCACGCCCCATTGTTTTTCTCATTATTCCTTATCAGATTTATTCCTTCAGTGAGAATTCAGTAATGTAGTATCAATGAGGGGAGAAAAAATGAAGGGAGTAGTCAGACTTGTGATATAACCTGTGACAACACCTGTCACATTTACTATCCTCTTTCAAGCCACAACATGCTTTATTATCTAGCCATATGGATTTCAAAATGAACAAGCTTCTAAATCTATCGAAATCTCACATGAAGACTGTTCTTAATGAGGAGAGTAATGAAGAGGATCACCCAGTCTAGAAGAAGAGCAATCCAGACTACAGGTAAAGGAGTAGAGACATGCTGCTATTGACTTTTTGTTTGTCTCAGTATATTTTGACTTTTGACAGTACTTTCTGTTTTGATTGGTTTTCTTGTCAAGTTGTGAATGATTGGTACCTATTATTCAAAACAAAAAGTGATAGGAGATAAAACTAAAACCAATTTGGTTAGGATATGTAATGTTTATCCCCCATAGGCCTACTGGGTTATTAGATGTATTCTGTTTGTTGGGGTTTCCCAATATGGGCATCCTCTTGAAACCCTAAACTTCAACAACAACAACAACAAAAAAGTAAGGCACATTTTAAGTTAACTAATCAAAGAATTTGAGAAGTGGTTATTTTCATAAGAATTAATAAGAGAGAAAAATACACACAGCTGTAAGATCCATGTCCATTGAATATTATAAGAGCCAGCTCAACAATAGACCCAGATGGTTTCTGCATATGAAGAGGAAATAAAGATTTAAAATTAGTACAAGCATGATTGCATGACAAAATCGTAAAGCTGCAAGACATCAGTCAACTAAATAGCACATTCAACAAAAGCTAAATATTTTACTCGCATCCATATAAAGTTTAGGAGACTCAAAATCAGCAGAAATCTTATTTATATGAATTTATAATATTATATTACATGTGATCTACTAAAAGGTAATTCATTACTTCAAGTGTATTTGAGGTGTTGCTGTAATCCATAAGTGTAAGTATAAGGAATGAATGAATGATTAGAAAGTGATACAAGAAACATTTGTACAAACAAACATGAGGAAGACGAGGAGCAACTAATGAATGTGTGTATATATATATATATATATATATATATATATCAGGTTATTTAGGAGAATACATTCTGAAAGATTTTTTAGATGCATGACATTTTGACAGATTTAATAATGACTCTGCCTAACATAAGAATGCCTCTTCCTATCACAAGAATGCCCCAAAAATCTGTCAGCAAAATAACCCTGTAATATCTTCATGCTTATTTACATTTGGAAACTAATTTTAGGAATGGTTTCTGATGATGGCAGATAAGATTTAAAAGATATACAAGTATATGCCTACTGGAAATCAACTCAAACAGGTAAACTCTAATAAAAAATTACAGAGGTCTCAAAGGATCCAGAAGAAAAATACCAAGTATGAGGACTGAGTTGAAGGGCAAGTCAAGTGAAGGAGGTTGCTGGCCTTTCCAGCCATATTTTGTTTTTCTTATGTTATTTTCCTTCAAGTAGAGCAGTTAGGGTTAGCATAAATAAACCTCTAGTGGGCATTGTGGTGTCCTATAATGAGGGCATCCTGAGTCAGCCAATTATGGCAGCTGAAGCATGAATTGTTGTTGATTTAGTGTCCTAGAATTAAGCAGAGCAGTTGATTTCATCTGTATTTAAAACCCCCTGGTGAAATGAAAAGGTGTGATCAATCTACCAAACAACTCTTGTGGTTCATTCTCGCTCGAAAAGAATGCTTGTTCATCTAGGTTCTCAATCAGAACCTACCAATGTATCCCAATACAGCAACGAACTAGTTCAATGAATATCTTAGACTTTGGACATACGTTTTTACATTGCACTTCATCTTTCAGCAAGAAGAGGAGGCATGTCAATTGTCATTTAGAAAAAGAGTGTGTGCTTCATCCTGAAAATGAGACAGAAATTGGTATACGTTGCTAATGCTCGGATTTTGCAGTGAGTAATATCTTTTGATTGCAAACAGGCTGCTCATATAAGATCACTGACACAATGTTCCCCTGTGCATCTAATATACTTCATATTCAGTTAATTAACCACAAACAAACGAAAAGAGAGAGTATGCGAAGATTCTAAGGTTGAGATACATGACCACCATTACCACATCTTTAGGAGCAGGGGGCTGCTATCTAAATAATCAAATTTTCATATTTATGATTGCCAGTTTACCAGATGTATATATGATAAATATTAATGATCATCAGTACATACATATTGTATGAGACTGGAGAGTAATTTGACAACAAAACATCCTCTGCACAAGAAATTCAGGTTTTCATATACGTAAGCATAATAAATAGAAATAGAATATTATGCTGTATCACCCAATAACTCAATAATCAAGACTGTTTTTGTTTGTTGCACCAAGCACAAATCTTAGAATTGCGAAGCCTCTCTGTCCCTCCCTCCCTCTAAAATCTTCAGGATGAAAATAACTGTCGAGAGTGATAACAGGCTTTTGAAAATGTGTGTTAACCATGATGATAAAATGGTCAAACATGGGGCTATTCTGTTGCAACCATAAAGGTATTGTGTTACAACCGTAGGGGTATTATTGATGTGTCATCCATATTTTTTAAATTTTGATGGTTTTTTGTTAAAAAAGAGTAGATGTGATGTTTGAATGTTTTTGCTCAAAACACTTTAAAGACACTTAAGTAAGTCTCTCTTACTTGCTCTCTTGTTCATGAACACTTGATATTTGTGGCAAGGATTCAAAGGAGTGAGGCCTCTATTTATATCTTGAAGTTCAAGCACTATAATAGAAGAGAGAGGTGCCATTTCTCCCTCCCATGCACCTGAATTTATCCACTCTTAGGTTGCTTCCCACACTTGAACTACTCAAGCCAAATAGAGAAGGCCAAACTCTCGTTAAGCAATATCATCATGACAAACCCATTTCTTCAATCAATTTTTCTAGAATTAGCAAATTTCCATTTTCATCTAATTAAATTTCCATTTCTTGACAATTCCTTCTTTGAAAGAATATATCAAGAGAAAACTCTTCCACCCACCTCATTCTAAACTTTCTTGTTTAAGATCTCTTTTGAGTTCTTTTGTCATTATTCTTATTTCTATTTTTGTTAGACAATGTAGAAAGGAAAAATATCTCTTCTTGACAATCCTAAATTTTCCCTTCTAAGCACATTTTTTGAATTAATGACCTATTTATTCTCATTTCTCCTTTGAGTGGATTGTAAAATGTAATGAGAAGTTCTCTTCACATGGATTAAGAATCACTACAGCACATTTTCCAAACAGCCCACTAATTAATCATCCTATATAAAATTTGACACATATAACCATGTCTTCAAAAGGTAATTTCCAGTACATGAACAGTTGTTATCCAGTCAATCAAAGGATAAGTACCGTAGATATTTGTTATTTCTAAAATGCCATTCTAAGTGAAATGAACAAGTGTGAATGCCAATAATCTAGTAGAAAATTTCCAATTTCCTGTTGATAAAGCTGTAAATAGACATAAATTCAAATAAAAATGGAGACAGAAGAAGAGTTCTGAAATTTAATCATGGCATATGCCATAAAATTTGTGCAACAAATAAAGATACTGGACATGTCAATCATACTCAGATGAGCTGAGAGAGACTTACCAAAGACTCGGTATCACAGAAGGACCTGCATGAACAAACAAAAATTTAGAAAATAAAGTGTCAACATAAAACACACAAATCTTTAAAGTGGTATAACTCATTTTCACCACCACCTCAAACGACCACCAAGAAAATACCCCAGTGTTCAATAAGAATCACTTCCCTAATGGTTGTGATCTATATGTCAGAATTTGAAAAATGTATTTCAGTTTCCATTCATTTAATCAAAAGTGATAAGGTCTTTTAACCTGTTTTAACAAAAATAAAATATTTCTTTCAGAAATCTTGTTCGGAACCCATAAACCTGCTATGTTGTCATTGAAATTATATATGTAGTTTTGGACAAACCAATCAGGAATACGACAAAGCAAAAACCTTCAAGGCTATACACTGCGATTAACCAATGCTACGCAGTAAGCATTTTCGGGTCCATAGCCACAAAAGGGGCAAAAACTCGTTCCACGGCTAATTCTATAATAATAAACCTTGAATTACATGTAATTTGAAAACCCTGAATTGAAATATGATTATAAGAGTACCTGATAACTTTTTCAAGATAATCGGAGATTATGGTGCGCCAGTAAGGGCCCAGAGCGGCGGTACCTTCAACCACCAAGATGAGCTGCTTTTTCTCCGCCATGTGTACGTAAAATTTCCAGGCCCACGAACTCGATCGATCACCTCTTTGTTTCTGACACTGATGATCTTCCCAATCGAATAAGATACACAAGCGATGGTGCGATTTTCACATAAGTTTGGTGAAGCTGTTGAAATTGTAGGTTTTCTTTAAATCGTTGTCTCTTGTATGCTTTCTATTTCATGTCTCATAAGGGTCTTTGATCCTTCATTCCCAATTTACATGCTGCGCCATGGACTGAAAACACTCTCTTGAAACAAATTTTTCGACCTCCTCTGATTTTTCTTCCCTTCACAGCAGATAAACACCACAGGAAAGGGGTTTCTAAACTCTGACTCGTACATACAATTACACATTTACACCCCAAATTTTTTGAGTAAACTTCATTTTTCCCCCTTCTAATTTCTGATTCTTCTGTTTTTGGTCCTTATAAATTGTTTGTTACAAATTTATCACTGTAATTGCTTGGTTTTTGGTTAAACTTTAAAAAATTTAGGGTAAATTAAAAATTTGGTCCTTATGGTATGCAATTTTTGTATGAAATTGATTTTTAGGCTTTATTTATTACGTAGAACACTTAATGATATGTATTAGTTCGTGGATTTGACCCTTGGACCACATTATGATCTACCATGGTAGTCAAACTCAAGGGTGGAATTGTCTTTTTGCCATTTCTCTCTATTTTAATAACTTTTAATCAATATTTTAAAACCAAAGGCCAAAGTGTATAAATATATTGTTATTGAGCTTTTTGTGTCACAAATTGTTTTTGACATGGGGGTTTGATTTTAGACGTTTGTGTTCAGATTTGTGGTGTTGGTGGGGAAAAGACGTTGGAAGACTAGTCAAAAAAGTATCTAAAAAGACACCGGATATTATGAAGATGAAGGTGGTTGGGGTGGTTTTCGTCATAGTTAGGATGTGAGGGGAGAGAAGAGATATCTTTTGTTTTGAATTATATGCCACATGTCATCATGTAATTGGAGGTTAAATAAGAAAAAAAAAAGTAAAAAAGAATTAATATTAAAATGGAAAACATATAAAAAAAATATGTCTTGAAAAAGTTAATGGAGGAAATGAATGACTGTTTGGTCTAAGGACCAAATCCATAAGAAAATATCACACTGAACCAATTTTGTAAAAAACTGCATATAAAGACCAAATGTGTAATTTACTTAACTTTTTAATGAGTAAATTACATAAATTACCCCTGTGTTTAACCAAAATCGCAGGTTTAATCCCTACATGTAAAATTCCTGACATGTGAAGCAGCTTAACACTCACATTTAACGGTATCTATATTATATTATAAAGTATTTGATAAAAAAATTTGAAAATTATTTTTTATACTTAAAGTATTGTTTATTGATGCATATTACTTAAAATTCAAGGTTACAAATAAATTATGCACAAGTATAATTTATTAAAGTTTCATGTTTAAATTCGTGTAATAGTTAAATACAAGATAAACATTTCCTTTTAAATATAAAAAATCTAAAATATAAAAAATCTAAAATATAATTAAAATAATTATTAAGTTATAATATAATACTTGATTATTATCCTTATAAAAAAATTATCTATTATTAAATCAAAATTAAATTCTTTTGTTACTAAACCTAAATTAAATTATAATTAAAAAATTGAATTAAATATATTACATCAAAACATAAGAATTTTTACAAAGATTAATTTGATATTGATATATATTTCTTTTAAATTTTATGATATTTTTAAATTTATATTTTATTTAAAAATAAAAACATTATCGTTTTTTCAAAACTCCATAAAAACATATTATATCGATATAAAAAAAAAATAAAACAAAACACTAAAATCAAGATATATTAAACAAGAATCCTTCCGGTCATTCGTAAAATCATCGGACTTTTTCTGCAAACAAGCCCAAATCGAAAGAGGATGGAAATTCCTGGATCCGCGGGAACCCATCAACCCGTAAATCCTTAGCATACAAGAAACTGAATTCGATTGGAGGAAGACTTTTGTGGTAAACGTCGCCATCAAAACCTCACTGTTAATAAATCTTCTTTATGTGAGGGTTTTTTTTCTGTCAGACCCTAATTTAATTGGTGTCCACGCATGTAATCATCGAAAAGCTTTTCAAAACCCCCTTTGTCATCTTCAAAAACTTCCAGACACCTACCTCGCTTGATTTCTTGTTGATTCGAGTTAGCGATGTTGCATTTCAAAGACCCTTCAAAGCTCCGAACCAAAAAGGTAATCTTTCTACATCTATTTATACAACAGTATGATTCTGGGTTCTGGATTGAAATTTGGAATAAACATCGTTAGTTTTGGTTACTTTGAGATCGTTTGTTTTAGGGTTTTTCTGTATTTGGATATATGCTAATGGATTGGTGCGTATGTGTGTGTGTGCATAATTTGTGTGGATGGTTTCTGAATTTAAGGTATAATGTATCGGGTAATTCGGTGTAAGGTGTAAACAGTCGATTGTGTGATGGGTTATCTCTGGTTACGCTAATATACTGTCTAAACTTGTGGAGATCTGTGTTTCATTATGCTTTATAGCCATTGCCAGTGAACATTTGTGATGCTTTAAGCAGGTTTTGATCATTATATCTTATGGGAATTTATCTTTTTCAAGTTTCATATTTTTATATGTTAGTGTGTGCAAGACAAATAATATTACGAAATTGGATGAGAAGAGAAGTTCATCATGCAAAATTTGGTTCCCAGTAATGCAATTTGAGATTTGGAGTTGATATGATGACCATGAAAATTAAAAGGCTATTATTGTAGTAGAAATCGGCTTCATTTATAGTATAATGAGGGGAAAACTCTCTCTTTCACCATACTGAAATCTAATGTAATCAAGATAGCAAATACCAATAAGGAATTAACGAAAACTTGGTTTGGACAGATTGTGTTTGAAGCTGTATATCCTGCACAGGATTCAGGCACTCTTGAACAGCTGAAAGAGTTAAGCTCCAAGCGTGTGAATGTTGAGTCTATCAATGAAAACAACTCCATCACGGATGCCATCGCAAGGGAAATGTCTGGGGGATTGACTTCTCAGTGTGAACAGGTAACATTATCTTGCATTATTATCTGAGGTTCATATGGTTTAAGTGCTTTTGGCAATGAACCGCTTATCACTTCGTTTGGCCTCTGCAATTGAAGAATTTTCTTTTTGGTCTCTTCCATGATAATTAGAGCATTTTGTTTTTGGGAAAGATTTCAAGTTGAAGTTAATTACAGATAACTTGATGGTACTGATATGGCTGCAAGATTCTTTTATCTCTATTTTTAGAAAGAGTGTTTGATATTTAACAAACAATGAAACATTTTACTTATACCATATGCCAAACAGACATTGCAACTTTCATGGATCAGACTGGGTTACATTATAGTTACAATGCAAACTTGATATATCTTTTTAGAACATTTAACTTATTGTGGTGTCACTTTTGTCGTCTTACATTTCAGGATATCCAAAAACTAGAACTATATTTGCCATTACTGGAGAACTTGGTTCAGCATGTTGACTTAATTGGTGATGATCCACTAGTGATTCGTTGGACTTCAGATCTCAAGATAAGATGGACCAGTGTCCTTAGTTCTTCATTTTTCTTCAACCTCATGGGTCCAAGGTTCTTTCAGATTGATAATCTGCGGTTTGAGCTTGGAATTGTCTTGTTTTTATATGGTGCAATGCTTCGAGAGTGGGCTTCCCAACTTCTAGTGACAGGTAGCAACTAATTTCCTGAGAACATTCATATATATTTTTAGTTCTTTATATGGTTATTGATAATTATTCTGTTTGCTTCTTATAAATTATTATAGATTTAGTACAATCTGCGACCCTATTCAGGAAAGCAGCAGGAGTTTACAGTTATTTGGCTCATGAGGTTCTTCCCTCTTTAGAAGGTGCACTTACACCAGAAGGACCACCGGAAGCAACTTCATCTGTTTCTTCAGTTATGAGCTTCATTTGCTTGGCTGAGGCTCAGGTCAGGGTTCAAGTTTCAACCTTTATTTCCTTTTCGTTTGTTTCAACAAACATAGCTATCATTTTCAGTCCTTTCGTTATCTTTTTTTTGTCGAGATGTAAAACATGTGCTCATTTTTGTAAGTTTTTTCACTTAAAAAAAAATACGCAGATAGTAACTATAATGAAGGCAGAAGAAAAACGTTCTGCTGATGGGCTTTTGGCAAAGCTGCATTATGGTGTTGTACAGTTATTTGATGAGGCCACCGACTTTTTCTCGACAGCAGCCAGAGAATGCAAAGATATCTCACCAAGCTTGATGGTATGGGTAAATTTTCAATTTTTTTCAAGCTTGATGGTAGTTGTTTTCTTGAACATCATGTGTAAATCTTTGGACCATCACAGCTGTATTAAAGTTCCATTTAGCTTCTTTTCGACCATTTTCTGGGCTTAGAAAACGGAAAAGAAAATCCGGGTTATTTGTGCAGGATTACATTTCATTTTCTAAAGGCGTACATGAGTTAAGAAGTTATAAGTATATGGCACAAGCTCTAAAAACCGATGGACAAATTGGAACTGCAATTGGACTCCTTCAACACGCGTTAAACAATGTGCAGAAGAATGTGGGAGGGATGGAGTCTTGGCGAACGGTTATGAAGCAAGATATTGACACTGTGATCGAGTTGCTAAGAAAGTATAAGCATGAGAATGAGTTCGTATGGCATGAAAAAGTTCCGTTTGATGACCATTTGCCGTTGCTACAAGGGAAAAAGATTGCCACTTGCATACCTTATCGTCCTGAAAGATGGGAACGAACGCTTGCACTCAAGATCTAGAAAGGTAATTCTTGATGGCCTATCAGTGTGCAGCATCGGCTGTTCTATTGTGTTCGTTACTCAGTTTGTTGCTGGGATTGTGAGGTATGCAGTTATGGTGGCGATGGAGAGGTGATGGGTGGCGGGGTTACATAATTGTATGCTAGTAGTTGGTAGATATGGTGGTGGTTCATGGTGGATGAGAACTGTACATACCATCAAGTTGTACGAACACTCTGGGTGGCCAAAAATTTCGAAGGTCGTGTATTTAATATTTTGTCAAATGCGATGGCCAAAACCTGGCCAAATCAGTCTCCATCCAATGTTTTCATTTTGCAACCGGTCCATGGCGATCAGTCCGGCCAAAAATACCCAGACCATTCTCCACATACAAAGCCCGGTCCCTAGGACTGCTCCCAATCCCAAGCCGGGGCCAAACTGATACCAATTTTTTTCCCATAAAATCAATTTTTAGCGTATTAAAATACTGTTTGAAGATTTTTTTTTTATAATATCCTATTGAAATACATTTAAAATCTCTAATTGGGTCATTTAAATACATTTTGAGAATATTTTTTACATAAAAATGTTATGTAGATATTTTTTTTTGGGTTAACCTGGATATCCAACCCGCTATGCGAGCCGACTAATCCCAGGGTAACCACCGCATTTGAACCTCCGTGTCCACAAGGGGATTTTTATTCCTTCTTGGATTTGAACCCAGGACCTTTAGGTACTTTGGAGCCAAGCTTAAACCAATCAGTCACCATCCTTGTGGTTTACTTAGATGTTTTTATAGTCATGATTATTGAGATTTAGTACCGGAACACTTTAAAAAAAATTAAGACTAAACACTTTAAAAAAAACTTGAATTTGAAGTTTTTGGTATAAAAAAAAAACTTGATATTTAATTTATAAGAATTAAATTTAAAAAAATTAGGTCTATACATAACAAGTCTGAGCGTTAAATTTTTGTATAAAACATAACCCGTCCCGGACCATCGGTCCATAAACGATTCCTATTGGTCTTGGACCGGGCTTGTTTTGGCCATCTTTACATGTCTGTGTTAACATTGAGGTTCAATTTAATCGGCAAAGTTGAGTATTTTTTGGGTCGTGTTTTTTATTTGGCTTCGCTTTAGGATTTAATGGGATTAATTGATATGAACACACTGGACTTATAACTTCCATTTTATAATAAATCAAAATACATTTGACAAATTTATTATTTATTAAGAAATAAGATGAAATTTTAAAACCATAATAACTAATTAGAGGTTTTTAAAACATTAATTTTTATCAATGCTCCACTCATGAATCATAAAAATAAGTGTTTAATTAATAATTATTATATATAAAATGTTATAAATAATTATGGGTTTTTTAAGTTTTATAATTTCCAAACCATAAATATATAAAATAAAATAAAAAAGCAAAAAACAAAAAACAAAATTATTACGTTTTCTTAGCAAATTCGACTGGTGGATCTCAACAAACCACGGCTGCAATTTTCAGAAAATAATCGTAAAACCTAAATCCATAATCAGTTGGTGGATTCCAAGACTGTTGAAGATGATGATGGCTTTACAGTGTAACCCGCTTCTCCAATTATCCCATAAATTTAACAAAACAACATCAAGATACCATTTCAGCCCATTAATTTCAAACACCCATTTCCTCTCCATACGGAAAGATCCATTGTTTATCACTCCCAAGCTCTCAAACACCAGGTATTTTTCGATTTCAAAATTGTTACATCTTTTTCCCCGATTTCAGTACTACAGGTTTATAGGCTTTCATGATGATTTATATGACATGGAAAAGTACTATAGAGGTCAAAATTCTATGTTCGTCTTTTAATTTTGGGGATAGAGGGAGTAATGGTTTAACTTGCTGGCTATCTAGGGTTGTTTCTGCTTTGATTTCTGAAGAGAAAGTAGCGGAATCGAGCTTTTCCGGCACTGATGCGTTCAAGCTAACTTATTTGGAGGTGTGTTTTGTAACTTTTTGGTTATTGACTTGTGTGTATATCCTTTTAAGAAGAACAGCCATAGCAATGGTGATGTTCGAATGGCTAGTTTCTTTTCAATATGCCTAAACCCCTTATTGAATGGCCAAAAGGGGTTTCCTTTTTAGGGAGATTATTAGGTATATAACCTTAAATGAGATTTTAATCGGATACTCTTCTCATGAGTATAAGTCATTTTTTCTTGAATAGTTATGTAATGAATCTAATTAAAAACTCATTTAAGGTCAATGTTTAACAGAAGAATGTCATGTCACTTTCATATACAATAATGCTTAAAAACTTGTCAGGAAGGTCATGGATTTAAAAAACACTTTTGTGGGGAGGTCATTTAACTAAATAACCCCCCACTATTAGCCCAATAACCCTCTAGTGATTTCTAAGTTTTCACCATAGCACACTGTTTAAAATAAGGGCATACTGCTTTGATCCAGAACCAGATCAAACGAAGGTCATTAAACTAATTTTATTATATAGAAAGACATGTTCTTAATTGAAAACTCATTTAAAGTCTTTATGCGAAGGACCTGATTTAGCAAGATTTTGGTGTATGAAGTTTGTGTGTGGTCTTTGAGTAGCACATTGTTGGACATTTGTGATTCAGGGCAATAGTTGGTTATGGGAGGTGGGAGGAGTGAAGATTCTAGTTGACCCGATATTAGTTGGTAACTTGGATTTTGGAATACCTTGGCTTTATGATGCTAGCAAGAAATATTTGAAGAACTTCCAGGTACGTTTTTTTCTATTTTTATGCAATTAAATGGCTGTTTTTGTTAATGTTTATAGTCATTTATAAGCTTGCAGCCTAATGATATTGATTTAGGTCCATAAGATTCTTTTATTTTGTCACCATCAAACTGTACTTTAGATATTTGACGAATAATCAAACATTATCCTTAAACCATATAACCATTCATACGTTGGTCACCTTGATTTCCTTATTCATTTTTTGATCTAAAGAAATTGGCGTTCTTTTTCTAAATTTATGTAGCTTTATTGCAGCTTACCGATCTTCCTGAAGTTAATTGCTTATTGATCACACAAAGCCTTGATGATCATTGCCATTTGAAGACATTGAAACCGCTTTCACAAAAGTTACCGAATCTTAAAGTAATAGCTACTCCGAATGCAAAGACACTCTTGGATCCTCTATTCAACAATGTAAGCATAATGACGGACTTCATGATTTCTGAAAATGTTAAGCATTTTCTAACTTTTAATCTTGATTCAAAAGAACTTTGGGGCCATTTACCAAATGTTTACTGGGTAAGTAAGCGCTTACCGGGTAAGTGCCACTTCCCTCAGTAACCTTATTGGGTAACATTCTCCACCACCACAATGGATTGTTGGTAAGTATCTCTTATCCGGGAAGCTCTAACCAGGTAAAAGTCTTCTCCCTCACTTATTGGCTAAGATTCTCAGTCCTTGCCGTGCTCACTTAGTAAGGTAAGTGGCACACAATAAGGGTTTGGTAAACGGCCCCTTCATGTTCTTGGCCAGAAAGTAGGACCAGTGACCGAAAGGTTGTAACTTGTAATGCAGTGAGAAATAAATAAACCTAATAGTAAAGTGGCCAGATAATATTTTATTCAATAGTACTGGTGCCAAACAAATATAACTTTCTGTAGTTTATAGGATTTCAGTTCAATATTTTTCTCCATTATGTTCGAAATGAAGTCATGTGGCCCATTAGAACTGCCAACACTTTTCTTTTTTGAATTTTCAGAAAAGTTAGGATGCGTTTGGCATGCTGGACATGACAGTACAAAAACTTGTTGCCCCACGTTTTGTGACATTTAGACTAGACACGACAAGACTGAGTAGGACAAAAATAAGGTGGAAAAAAGGGATATGGGATAAAATTGGCAAATTACTATATTACCCATGTCAAATTAGAACTCTAAAACCTTGCACAATTATTTCACCGGCCTATCTCACTCTTGCTCGTCTAGTTCAGTCCAGTCCAGTCCAGCCTCATCCTCATACCGAATGCACCTTAAAAGAACTAAATTTCTCATTCAACACATAACTATTGTTCCGAAAAGTAATGTCATCCATTCAATTCCACAATCTTTACTTTGATTCGATAGGTGAGAGTTAAATACAAGGGTAGTTTATGTATTCGATTAATAGTAGCCTATTTACATAAATATTTTTTATTGTTCCATGGGTTTAACCACAGCCACCTGCAAGTAACAAGTAAACAACTTCCAAGTGAAACTTTTTGTTATGCTTAACCGGACTCTGTCTGATCTTCACCTGTGGTCATTAAGATGTTACCACACATTTCACACCCGCTCTACTTTCAGGCAGAGGTTAGGTCTGTATACATTTTACCCTCCCAGACATCACCTCTATGTGGATATATTGGGCTCGTTTGGTTTGATTTGGTTTGGTTTATGTTTCTGATATACTTGTAACTATGCCTGTACATTTCAGGTCATATACTTAGAACCTGGCGAAAACTCTGAAATTCAAACGAGTGAAGGTTCTTATGTTAAAGTGCGGGCAACTGCAGGGCCTGTTCTTGGACCTCCTTGGCAACGCCCTGAAAATGGGTACATAATGCTTTTTTTTTTTGCTCAGAAAGATGAACGAAAAAACTAGTGAATCATATTTGTCTTAAGCTCTACATGCTTCAGGTACATTGTCACTTCTCCGAGACAAAAACTTTGTCTTTACTACGAACCACATTGTGTCTACAACGATGAGATCATTGGAAAGGAACAGGCTGATATCGTCATTACACCTGTTATCAAGCAGCTTTTGCCGAGTTTCACTTTGGTGTCTGGACAGGAAGATGCTGTTCGACTTGCAAGGCTGCTTCGTTCCAAGTAATCTAACGTGACTTTTGAGAGCCTGGGAACTCACTATTTCATGAATTATTCATGATGCATAATCCTAAGATATTCATGAATGCATTTTCATTATGAATACCTATTATGATTATTCATCATGAGTAGTTGGTTCTAATGTTCTAAAACTATGTACGGTTCTTATACCAAAATGGATATAATTTTTACACTCGTTGTTTCTTTTTTCTACAGATTTGTCGTGCCAATGAAAAACGGAGACCTTGATAGCAAAGGCGCTCTTGCAAGTCTAGTCCGGTCTGATGGAACCTTGGAATCGTTCAAGGTACAGTTCTTGAATCCTACAACTTGTAATGTTATCGTTTTGCAATTAATAAGCGAGTAAGTTTGTAATGCAGGAGCTTTTATCGAAGGATCTACCCGATGCAAAGATACTCGAACCCGTCCCTGGTGTACCCCTCGATATATCACCATCTTAGGCGTTATGTTAACATTACTTGTGTTTTCTAATCGCTTTGTAGATTACTTTCACCGTTGCTGGTGGTCATAGATTTTACACTTGTATACGTAGAGAGGCTATGTTTGTAAACTCTAGCATTCCCTGTATATATCTATATATTTATATTTATATTTATATGTCCGTTAAAGAAATGAATTTTACTTTTTACTGTTACTTACTGTTTACTAGTCTCCGTTCTTCTTTCCTTGTCTCTCATTCTCACACTTCTGCACAATCCGAGGGATTTTACAAAAACAATCGCTCTACAATTTGGCATATGAAATATATTTGTGCACATCTTATTCTTGGGACCCTCCTTCCGAATGTTGCATATTCCGCATATTGGAGTGAATCCCGGGATACCCACAAACACGAACCTAATGGGCCAATCAGATTCGGATTAAAACATACGGAATTATATATCTGGATGTTATAAAGAATTTAAATATCAAAATTGTCATTTTTCAAGTTGTCTATTCAATTTTGAAAATGAAATGACATTGGACCATTGTATTTCTTGTTTTATTTAATTAAAAGCTTGTTCGAGTTCATCCTTTCTTCCAGTATTAATATCAGTAACACGTTACGTGGGGAAAAGGGTCATTTACATAATTATTTGTGTAATTTATAATGATATAAAGTACAAGACTTTGTTAAAAGACCAAATGCATTTTGGTTACCGAGTACATTCTATTATGAAATCAATGGTTGAGATAAATAGAATCCAAACCTGTTCGATTTGTCATCGGATCACGTACTATACATGATAATATAGAATATTATCGGGTTACAGTACCATATTAGTATTATAAGTTAAAGATATCATACAGTTTTCGAATATCTTTTTGTTCAAATCTAATACATGTTTATTAAAAATCAAAAAGAGACAAATGACCTTTCATTCAGCCAAGGGACGTATTCATTTCCTAAGCACATATTTCAAATAGTACCTTATTTTTCTATTTTAAGTAAAATATTTTTTTTACAAAATACCAATAAATATTATAATATTCATTTATAAGATATATAAAAAGTAAGTATTTACTAATTTGATCAAAATCGCTTATTATTATATTATTTAGTGGAGTCGTTTGAATTTTAGCGAAAACTACAAAGTCAAAGTCAAATCGTATTGGTTTTATTTTGTTTTTATTTTTTCTTTTTTCTTTATACTCCGATTAAAATCTATCCGTTATTCCATGTCGATCCATTTGGATTTTACATTCATGTCTATCTTCAAATTCATATGTTATATTTTTGTTTATGTGATTTCGTATTTTATGCTAATAAATGTGAATACACTCAAACATGCGCATATTGATATTCTCCAACTTGAACAAAAAGTTGATTATCAGTAACTTTAACCGATCCAACATGAAACCTGTCTCCAAAGACATCAATGTCATGGGGCATTTTTTTTTGCTTACTTGGCGCCTGAGACTAACCCCCAGGGAGGCTGGTATTGAACCTAGGACTTGGGCAAATTCGTTCTACCTCTTTGCCAACTAAGCTACACGCCAGAGACGATTGATATTCTCTAACAGGTATATTAACTTTGTATCAAATCAAACGAGCCAACATGCGTACCAAACACAACGAGTAAATTGATACTAGGTACAGTCAATTGGTAGTATCATACTAAGTATGCAAACTTAGTTGTTATAGTATTAGAAATTGCATACTACTTTAATACCGTGGTACTGACTTATTTAGTTATAAAGCATAGTTATTGATTTTAAAGCTTTGTATTACTAACTTTTCTATTCGGTTATTTGAATGTTTGCAAGTTTTATTTTTACAATAAAAAAGAACCCTAAAAAATATGTACCAATTATTAGAGGTATTGCCCCTTAGACCCCGCAAGAGGGCACGACCCCCTTGGAACCCCCCCCCCCCCCCCCCCCGGGCGGGCATTACATGGCATCATTTAATGATCACAATATCTAATTAACTTATACGAGTGTGCATTTTACATCTTTGAGCTCGTGCTAACCAACAACCTCAATCTCTTTTATGAATCCAATTACATAAAATGAATCGACGATTTCACTAGCATTATCAACAATATCAATTTTAATCAATATAAGACAAGCTCTCATAAAATGAATAAATTCGTTTAGACGCACGTAAATAAGAGCAAGATAATACATAATATATAAGAAAATTATCGATAACAAACATAATTATTGTACATGTAAAAAATATAATATTTTATTTTCTTTAAATAATAAAAATTAGAAAGATAAAATATGATTGAAGAACAAGAGATAGATTCCAATTTGTATATAATATTTGGTATGACTGCATTTATAAATAATACTACGTGGCCAATTCATCCTTTCACTTTAAGCAGCAACTTAATTGGTGTTGGTGGGTGGAGTCCGTTATCATTGATTTTGTATAATTTTAAACACAAAATATTTTTTTCCTTCTCAAAAATAACCCGGACAAATTATATAAAAAAAATAACGTAGTTTAACTTGATTTTTATTTTTGGTAACGTACTTTCAAAACTTTCATTTTGGTATCTAAAATGTAAAGTTTTGAACATTTAAGTACCCAGGTAACGGATTGAAGCATTAACTAGTTATCATGCTAATGTGACGAGTGATGTGGTATCTAACTCAGTATTATTTGATGACATAGATATCTTAATCTAATCGGTTAATGCTTCAACATGTTTAACCGGTTACTCGGGTACTTAAAATGTTTACAACTTTACATTTTAGATACCAAAATGAAAATTTTGAAAGTTCGTTACCTGAAATATGAATCAAGTTAAAGTACGTTGTTTTTTCATGAAATTTGCCCAAATAACTAAACTATCAATATTGAGTTAAAATTGTTGCTTTTTTACTTTTAAAATCTAAATCTAAATAAAACTGTCGACGTGAATCACACTTTTTTTTATTGTATCACAACATCTTATCTGTATCACAAATAATCACTAATGATTGAGACAAAAGACACAAAAGAAAATAACAAATGTAACAATATCATAGTCAGTTTCAAGACAGATAAATACTTTACACCTTATACAAAAGTCAATTAAGAAATTTTAATGACTGATAAGTAATATTAAAACTTAGTAATGTTTATATCTCATATAAAATTAATCATGATACACATAAGTTGATCTACATATTTATGGTTAAATAAAATCAAAAATGCAAACCACAAGGGTGGTGTTTGATTGGTTTGAGTTTGAGCTCCAAAGGTTAAAAATGTTTAGAGGTCTTAGGTTTGAATCCAATGAGAAATAAAAAGTCCACTATGGCTATGAAGATTCAAATGCGGTGACTCCGATCTATCTGCAAAACGAGTAATCGTCATAGGATTAGTCGAATCGCATAACGAGTTGGATATCAAGGTTAATAAAAAGTACAAGAAATTATAACATAAGATACAAGTTGTGTTGCATGAATATTAATAATGGATGGAATCTAAGATGATAATATAAAAAAATAAGGAATATACTCCACCAATGGGCAATGACGATTTTCATCCCACAAATGCCCTTCGAATATTCGGACATTTACCCACTTAAAAAAATTGATATAATTATTTATTTTAGCATATGGCCCACATAATATTTTATATTATCTAATTTATTAGCCTAATTATTATTATTATTCTTACCAAAGAAAAAATATTAGTTTTCCATAGGTATATTTTATTTGATGAGTAGTTCAGAAATAATTTTAATTATTTATCAAATATAAGAAGAAATTGTCAATTATAATAAGGAAAAGTTTAAAAAAAACTCAACGAAGTTTTTCATTTTGAATGTTTTTAGGGGTTGTTTGTTTACCTTTTAATAGTTCTATTAAGAGGTAATATCTGAATTATTAAGAGGTGAATCTTGTTTGGCAAAWWTTTTTTTTGTCTTTTAATGATTCTAAAACTCTCTAAATGATTTTGTATCATAGACCTCCCTTAACCATTAAGTGTTATAGTTTCATCGTAAACAAATACCAAACAGTTAAATTTTCTTTTGCAATATATCATGAGAGCGTCTTAATCATTCTGATCACTTAATTATTCTGCATCAAACCATTCATCAATTGTCAAACAACCTCTTGGTCTTTAAACTATTTTTTAATTAAAAAAATCATTAAATTTTCTTATTTGAATGATTAAGTACATAAACTATTTTTTGAGTGAAAAATCATTAAACTTTTTCTTTTTAAATAACAAAACTATTAAACTCTTTTCATTTTTGATTGATTAAATCCATAAACATTTTTTAAATAAATAAGTCATTGCAGTTTTAAAATTGATTACCTACATCCTTTTAATACGAACTGATTAGTAAAATTCTGATAGTTTATTTTTTTTTTAATTAGGATCTTAATCATTAAAAATGTAAATAATAGTTTTTTCATTAAAAAGGTTAATTCAGAAACTTGATCATTAAAAAAGAAAAAATATAATGGTTTTTTCAAAAGAATAGTCTAAGGGGGTGTTTGAGATTGCTTATAAAAACAACTTATTGACTTATTCCGGTTTAACATCAATAATAAGAAGTTTTTGAAGAAGTTAAACTCTTCTGACTTATAATAAGTTGACAAACGCTTATATAAAAAAGCATAAATTGTTTTAAATAAGCAATCTCAAATACCCCTAAAAACTATATCATCTAAAATGAAAAAGTTTGTTTTTCCTATTATAATATGATGACAATGGAAGAAACGTAATTTTGATATGCAAGCATTTGAAAATAGAAATAGGAAAAGAAAAAGAAAAAGAAAAAGAAAAAGAAAATTTAATTTTCTTTTAATAAATTGAAAGTTAAAAATGGAGGTTTGTCTTATGTTTGGAAATTGGATAGTATTGGTTTGGTATCCGTCGCCAAATTCATGTAGAGATGCCACGTGTAATATAAATATATTTTTGGTACGGAATTTTGGTATCAAGAATTGACACATTGGTTGTTTTTCCTCTTGAAAATAAAATAAATAAAAATATAACTTTCTGCCAGGTGGCCCAATCCGATTAAGTCTTTTAAAATAGCTCTTTGTTATATTATTTGATTTTATTGCTTTTAGTGTAAAATTTAATTGGTTTAAATGCATGAAATAGCAACCTACTTTCATAAAATTTCCTATTATAGCATTGTTTTTTTTATTATAACAATGTACTTTCAA